CACCCCCCCTCACTGTCACCAGTCACCCCCCTCACTGTCACTAGTCCCCCCCACTGTCACTAGTCACCCATCCTCACTGTCACCCCCCCTCACTCTGTCACTGGTCACCCATTCCCTCCCTCACTCTGTCACTAATCATCCCCTCACTCTGTCACTAGTCACCCTCTCCCTCACTCTGTCACTACTCACACCCTCCCTCACTCTGTCACTAGAGTGAGGGGATGACTGGTGACAGAGTGAGGGGATGACTGGTGACATAGTGAGTTAGGGGGTGACTAGTGACAGAGTAAGGGACGAGGGAGGTGACTAGTGACAGAGTAAGGGACGAGGGAGGTGACTAGTGACAGAAGGAGGGATGGAGTAGTGACAGAGGGAGGTGGTGACTAGTAACAGAGTGAGGGAGGTGGTGACTAGTGACAGTCACCACCTCCCTCACTTTGTCACTAGTCACCCCTTCCTTCCCTCACTCTGCCACTAGTCACCCCTTCCCTCACTCTAGTGACAGAGTGAGGGAGTGACAGAGAGAGGGAAGGGGGTGACTAGTGACAGAGTGAGAGAGGGGGTGACTAGTGACAGTCACCCCCTCTTTCACTCTGTCACTAGTCACCCCCTCTCTCACTCTGTCACCAGTCATCCCTTTCTTCCCTCACTCTGCCACTAGTCATCCCTTCCCTCACTCTGTCACCAGTCACCCCTTCCTTCCTTCACAGTGACAGAGAGAGGGATGGGGTGACTAGTGACAGAGAGAGGGATGGGGTGACTAGTGACAGAGAGAGGGAGCGGGTGACAGAGTGAGGGAGCGGGTGACACAGTGACAGAGTTAGGGAGGGAGTGACTAGTGACAGAGAGAGGGATGGGGTGACTAGTGACAGTCACCCCCCCTCACTCTGTCACTAGTCACCCCTTCCCTCCCTCACTTTGCCACTAGTCATCTCTTCCCTCCCTCACTCTGTCACTAGTCACCCATTCCCTCACTCTGTCACTAGTCACCCCTATCTCCCTCCCTCTGTCACTAGTCACCCACTCCCTCACTCTGTCACCAGTCACACCCACTCACTGTCTCCCCCTCACTCTGCCACCACTTAACCCCTCCCTCACTCTGCCACCTGTCACAACCTCCCACACTCTTCCACCTGTCACCTTCTCCCTCACACACTCTGTCACTTGTCATATGCATTCACACTGACCCTATATACAAAAAAGCACATTTAGTCATCCAGACATGCACAAGTGCATTCACACAGACTCAAATACAAACATGCATTGATACACAGGTCTTCACAATACACACATCCAATGGAATGCCGTATTATGAATTATATTTAACATTTATTTAATGCACATATATTTGGCCTTCAGAGGGCCTGGGATCTAATTTTGCCCAGGGGCCCCAAAGGCTCTCAGTCCGCCCCTGACAATATGCATGTAATAAAGTTAACTTATATAATAAAACTATTGGTTAATTAATTGGGAAAGTACTCACCATTCAGGTGTTCACTCCGTCCCAACGGCGTCTCTGAGAGTAAGCCTTTGCCGGTGTTCTATCAGTCTGCTATACCCCGTCAGATTGCTATAGAACACCGGCACCTCGCAACCCGGAAGTTGCGTGTCCACGTGTTCCCCTGTTGCCATGGTGATCCAATACATACTTGGGCTCCATGGCTGCTGGGGTGAACAATACTTAATGTACGCCATAATTCTTAATATCAAAAACATATCAAAATACCAACGCTATATATTTCTCTTTGCCACATAAATGTACATTATATTGTCATCTCGCTGGTATATCATTAGCATACATATCCATCTCAACATATTAATAACTACTAATATGACAGCTAGTTTACTTTCACTATGTTATAAACCTCCATATACGAAAAAACCTTCAACTTCAAAGTGCTATAATAAATTAATCAGGTAGCTACTGCTTTAGTATGCACTTCCAAACACCAATGTAACAGTAATGTTTTAACTTTTCATCTTGAAAATATTGTATATTATCATAACTACACTTAACAGTTCACATAGAACTTTAAAGTGCATTCAAAATTTAAAGTGAAACTCCTGTGCTGAACACATAAGTGCCAAAAAAGTGAATATAGTGCTGTTATGTACAGTAAAGTGCTAAAGTATATATCTATGTACACTAAAGTGCATCCATCATAACCTATCATACCTGATCATACCAGACCACTATTATTAAAGTGCATATAATGCTTAAAGTGCATATGATACTTAAAGTGATATAGTCTTTATTGTACATAAAAGTGTATATAGTGCTATTATGTACATAAAAGTGCTATGTTGTCCATCTATATACATTTAAAGTGATTCAGTGTTTATACACATGAAAGTGTATGTAGTGCTATTATGTACATAAAAGTGCTATTTAGTCCATCTGTATACATTAAAGTGCATACAAAGTTTTAAAGTGTATCAAACGTGAGGTGGATTATCAATTAACTGGCCATTTAAATATAAACTCTTTCCAGTTATTCAGGTATTAACGTATAGTGGGACATGTATGTTAATGTACATACTATTATATAATAGCTAGTCATTGTCTTATTACTGAATTTATCTATACATACTAAATATTAATAACATATTACGGACATTTTACATCTATACACTAAAAAAACTCTCTTAAAAACACATTATAGGAGGCTAGCAATCATTGGTACTCCCAAATAAACGGATGATATGATATCATCTCGTTTAAACCATAGGGTGCTATCGTATTCAGTTCTTGTATCCAAAAAGTCTCTCTCCTCCTCAACAGGTTCCCTCTGTCACCTCCCCTTCTCGACTGTGGAACGTGATCTATTGCCACAAACTTCAATGTAGCAAGGGGGTGTTTATTTTCAAAAAAGTGCTTCGCTACCGGTTTATCGGTGCGTCCATCCCTGTAGGCTGTCCTTATATTTGATCGGTGTCCCCGAATCCGGTCACATAATTGTGTTTCAGTCTTTCCAATGTATATTTAACCACAAGGACATGATATTTTTATAGATTACATAGGATGTTTTACAAGTAATTGTGTGCTTGATGCTGTAAACCTTTTTTGTATGTGGATGATTAAAGTTCCTCGAGGGTAGCATATGTCCACAGGTTACGCATCCCAAACATCGAATACATCCTCTTACTTGTGGCTTCTGTTGTTGTAAATAGCTATTCTCCCGATTGGTCCTCACCAATATATCTTTCAGATTTCTGCTTCTACGATAACATATCCTTGGGGGTTCTTTAAACACTTACGGCAGTGTGTCGTCACATGCCAATATGTTCCAGTTCCTTTTCACTATCTTGGACACTTTAGTTGCTTGATTATGGAATATCATAGGGAACGTTATCCTAGCTGGAGCAGTGGAATGCTTCGGCGTGGGTGCACTCTGTGCTACTTCCATCACTTTTTCCATGGGTTTGAGGGCTAATTACATAGATAACAGCCTATTTTTATATTTAATACAACACCCGAGAGTACCAATTATATACACCATCCCCAAAATACATAAGTGTCAAACGGATCCACCTGGTTGCCCCATAGTGTCCGCAGTGGGGGGCGTACTGGAACCAATCACAAGATGGTTGGATGCCTTGTTTAAAGAGATGGTACAGAATCTTAAGACATGTGTCAAAGATACACCATCACTTCTGACAACTCTGAAAACTTTATATATTGAAATGAGCAATCTGGTCCTTGTCACTATGGACATGATGGTGGTATAGAGGCTATGCGCCTGGTTTTGTCCTCATCAATGGTTTATCAAGGACCTCCAATTGAGTACACACTGGAGCTCACGTTAAAAAACAACTACTTTGGGGAGTGGAGCTAGCAGCACAACGGAGCAGTCGCATCTCCTGGAGCTCCGACTCAAATAAACCTAAACGTACCTTGTATGGGGGACTCTGAACCCAAAAGATCCCACAAAGTACACTACCGACACCGAGCAGACAATGGGCCGGAAGACAAAGAAGGTGAAGGCAGAAAAAGGCCCCCACAGCGGAGATATGCTGCTGCGGAACACTCAGCAGGCCGCATGGTCCAAGATGGCGCTCACGGATGACTTTTCCTCGTATTCATCAGAGGACTATGCCACAGATCTCATGGAAGGAGCGTCCTTCCGACCCACACCTGACTGCAACACTGAACCCAAGAACACCGGGGACCCAATCACTGCGGACCAAATTAAAAAAATGCTAGCGGAGCTACGCAAGGACCTGGCGGCAGACATGGCCTACTATAAGGAGGCCATAGAAGGTGCAACAACCAAAATTACCCAATAAGGGGCTAGTTCGACCACCCATAACTCAAGACTCACCAAGATAGAACAATGGGTGACAGACCTGGAGGAACGGCAAAACTCCACCACAGATCGGCTGGATGCCCTATAGGACCAGAGGAGACGACACAACGTGAAAATCCGGGGGATACCGGACACGGTCGTCCTCACTGAATTACCCCACTATGTTCGACGTCTCCTACTACCTCCAAAACAAGTTAAATCTGTGAAACTGGACGGGCTCTTCCGACTACCGAAGCCAGCCCGAGCCCCTGCAACCGCGACTGCAGACCTCATACTGAGATTCTAGGTAGCAGATAAGGCCTCCCTCTTGGCCGCATTAAAAGGAAAAACTCCTTTGCTGAAAATATGCTCAGAACTGAAAATATTTCCAGACCTTACTAAGAGCACCCTTACTTGGCGGAAATCATTGCAGCCGCTTCTGCAGAACCTCCGCGACAGAGAGGTTCCATACCGCTGAGGAACACCACGAGCTGTCTCCTTTACCCATGAAGGGATCACCCACAAGGCCCAAAGCCATAAGATGTTGGAGTCCCTCTGTTGAACAGAACAGGACTGTCCCAGTTAAACCCCGCTAACGTACAAGAGTTCACCCCGAGGGAACCCCAAAGATCATCGCCTGCCAGAGGCACCACCTGAAATGCCAACAGTCTCCCAGCTCCAGGGGACAACCTGCTCCATCACCTGCGATGAACCTATACAGTACAGTTTCGAGACTGCTATATTCTATTTTAATGTTTCAGTTCTACCTTAACTTTTCGCTGCAAGTTATACTAGCTGCACATATATTGTAACCCACTCCCCTAGCTGACACTAACCTCTCTCCGACATGGCTCTGCAGACAACTAGTAGGTTACCTTCTCACTTACCTTAGCAGCCATATATGCCAATGCCGTGTGTTACAGACAAAAAGCTAGAAGCCGCACAACACGGGACCACAGTTAGGCTGACACCCTTTTCTTTTCACACATACATCCTCCGTGAAATTTCCCCCCCTCCACCCTCCACGCCAGTCCACAGACGAACCTGCCTCAATGCACATATATATAGCTGACCGGCAAAAGGGGGCAATCCTAAGTGGTTACCACGCACGAAGAACACAACATTACCCACACAGAGCAAAAGAGCAGACCACCACATTTGCTAATCTTACCATAAATATCCAAATGTGTATTGTTCACAGATGCCAACCTTGTTAGTGACTGTTGTTACTTAAGCTGACATGTGCTGTTGTGGCATTGTTAGTAACCATGTTCATCATATACATGTAAAGAAAAAGAATTAAAAAAAAAAAAGAAATCAGAGAAATTGAAAAAGTAAAAAAACAAAAAACCCCCAACTACTTCCGGTTTGAGTAAGAGTGGTATATGCAAGTACCGGGCACTTCTATGGGTGCCGCTATGGCACCCATGTACGCAAATGCGTACATGTATGTGTTTGAGACGGAACACATACTACAGCCTTACCATCAGTTCATTATAGGCTATTTTCGTTTTATAGACGATATTCTAATAATACAGGGTGGCACAGAAGAGCAGGCATATGAGATGGTGGAAAACATCAATCAGCTTCCCACACCAGTACGAATGACAGCTAAAATCAGTACCGAGAGAGTCCAATTTTTGGACCTGGAATTATCCGTACAATAACACAAAATGGTCTGTAGCCTATATTCTAAGTCGACTGAT